AGAGGTTTGTTTTATAACTTCCCAAATACATAATCGTTTTCTAGTTATCTTTTTATTACTTATTTCTACCTTATTTGCACTGTAATCATAGGATATTCTCTGTGTAATTTTAACCTTCTGAATTTTGTCGAGGCCTGCCTTACTATCAGTGCTTATAAATGTTTATGTATATACCCTAAAATTATGTATTCTATGGTTTTTTTTAAATAAATTTATTTATTTTATTTATTTATTTTTGGCTGTGTTGGATCTTCGTTGCTGCGCGTCTTCATTGCTGGGCTTTCTCTAGTTTTGGCGAGCAGGGGCTACTCTTTGTTGAGGTGTGCAGGCTCCTCATTGCGGTGGCTTCTCTCGTTGTGGAGCACAGGCTCTAGGCGCGCAGGCTTCAGTAGTTGCAGCACACAGTCTCGGTAGTTGTGGCTCATGGGCTGTAGAGCACAGGCTCAGTAGTTGTGATGCACGGACTTAGTTGCTCCACGGCATGTGGGATCTTCCCAGACCAGGGATTGAACCCATGTCCCCTGCATTGGCAGGCGGATTCTCGACCACTGTGCCACCAGAGAAGCCCAAAAATGTATTCTATAGTTGTTGATTGCAGTGTTCTGTGTGTTGATATATACACTTCAGGTCAGATTTGTTAATTATGTTCATATCTTCTGTATCTACTTTTTTTTATTTGCTTATTCTGTCCCTGAGAGATGGGTGGTAAAAGTTTCGTGGCGTAATTGTAGATTCATCTAGTTCTTCTTTTATTGTTTTCATTTTTTTACCTAATACAGTTTGAGGCTGTGTAATTAGGTGCAAATCCATTTAGTGTTGAACTTTTTATCATTATGAAATGTCCCCTTTTGCGTCTATTAATGCTTTTGTCTCAAAGTCTACTTCATCTGACATTAATATAACTATATAAGCTTTCTTATGGTTTGTGTTACTATTTTATATAGTCAATATTCATGTTGATTTACTCACACATTTCTGATTTTCATTGGTTTTCCTTCATCTAGAAGCTTTCATTTGGAATCATTTTCTGTCTCCCAGTGGATTTTCTTCACTGTAGATCTGCCGTGGGAGTATTTCTCTTCATTTTTGTTTCTCTGAAAATGACTGTTTTGCCCATTTTGAGGACTGTTTTTACTGGGTGTAGAATTCTAGCTCTTAGAGATAACACTCCATTGTCTTCTGGCTTCCAAGTTGAGAAGTCAGCCATCAGTTTAATTTTGCTCTTGTCAAAGCAATCTCTTTTTTTCCAGACTGCTCTTAAGACTTTTCTCTTTGTTTCTTTCCCCAACACTTCTACCCTGGTGTGCACAGGTATGGGTTGGCTTTTATTTATCTTGCCTGTAATTCTTAAAGCTACTTGGTCTGTGAGTACCTTTTTTAACTTTGAAAAATGCTTAGCCGTCATTTCTATGCCTTAAGTACTCTTCTGTTTCTATGACTCCGGTTATTCGGATGTTACCTTCTCACTGTATATCCTTTGGCTCTTGGCCCTTCTCTCCTAGCTTCATTCTTTTTACTCTCCATGCTTCATTCTAGATATTTTTTCAGACCAATGTTTATTTTTCTGTTTTTTCTTAGCTCTGTCAAATTTGTTACTGAATCCATCTGTTGACTTTCTATTTTTTAAAATTTTTATTTATTTATTTTAATACCTTTATTGGAGTATAACTGCTTTACAATGGTGTGTTAGTTTCTGCTTTATAACAAAAGTGAATCAACTATACATATATCCCCATATCTCCTCCCTGTTGCATCTCCCTCCCACCCTCCCTATCCCACCCCTCTAGGTGGTCAAAAAGCACCTAGCTGATCTCCCTGTGCTATGCAGCTGCTTCCCACTAGCTATCTGTTTTACAGTTGGTAGTGTATATATGTCCATGCCACTCTCTCACTTCGTCCAAGCATACCGTTCCACCTCCCCGTGTCCTCAAAGTCCATTCTCTACGTCTGCATCTTTATTCCTGTCCTGCCCCTAGGTTCTTCAGAACCATTTTCTTTTTTTTTTTTTAATTTTATATATATGTTTTTGCATACAGTATTTATTTTTCTTTTTCTGACTTACTTCACTCTGTATGACAGACTCTAGGTCCATCCACCTCACTACAAATAACTCAATTTTGTTTCTTTTTATGGCTGAGTAATATTCCATTGTATATATGTGCCACATCTTCTTTATCCATCTGTCTTTTGATGGACACTTAGGTTGCTTCCATGTCCTGGCTATTGTAAATAGTGCTGCAGTGAACATTGTGGTACATGACTGTTTGAATTATGGTTTTCTCAGGGTATATGCCCAATAGTGGGATTGCTGGGTCATAAGGTAGTTCTATTTTTAGTTTTTTAGGGAACCTTCCATACTGTTCTCCATAGTGACTGTATCAATTTACATTCCCACCAACAGTGCAAGAGGGTTCCCATTTCTCCACACCCTCTGCAGCATTTATTGTTTGTAGATTTTTTTGATGATAGCCATTCTGACTGGTGTGAGGTGATACCTCATTGTAGTTTTGATTTACATTTCTCTAACGATTAGTGATGTTGAGCAGTGTTTCATGTGTTTCTTGGCAATCTGTATATCTTCTTTGGAGAAATGTCTGTTTAGATCTTCTGCCCATTTTTGGATTGGGTTGTTTGTTTTTTTGATATTGAGCTGCATGAGCTGCTTGTATATTTTGGAGATTAATCCTTTGTCAGTTGTTTTGCTTGCAAATATTTTCTCCAACTCTGAGGGTTGTCTTTTCATCTTGTTTATGGTTTCCTTTGCTGTGCAAAAGCTTTTACGTTTCATTAGGTCCCATTTGTTTATTTTGGTTTTATTTCCATTTCTGTAGGAGGTAGGTCAAAAAAGATCTTGCTGTTATTTATGTCAAAGAGTGTTCTTCCTATGTTTTTTCCTCTAAGAGTTGTATAGTGTCTGGCCTCACATTTAGGTCTTTAATCCATTTTGGGTTGATTTTTGTGTATGGTGTTAGGGAGTGTTCTAATTTCATTCTTTTACATGTAGCTGTCCAGTTTTCCCAGCACCACTTATTGAAGAGGCTGTCTTTTCTCCATTGTATATTCTTGCCTCCTTTGTCCAAGATGAGGTGACCATATGAGCATGAGTTTATCTCTGGGCTTTCTATCCTGTTTTTTTGCTAAAATTCTTAGTGTTGTCTTTCTCTGTGTATGTCATGATTGATAAACTGGACCAAATATGGCCTGTGAGCTGTATGACCTGTGAGCTAAGAATGATTTTTACAATTTTAAAAGGTTGTTTAAAAAATTTTTTGAAGAAAAAAAAGTAATACTACAGAGATTGTATGTGGCTTGCAAAAGCGTAAAGTGTGTACTCTTTGGTCCTCTGAGGAAAATGTTTTCCAACCACTGGTATATATTAAATACAGTTATTTTAGAATCTGTATCTGATAACTCCATTTTTTGGAAGTTTTTCTTCACTGGTTTCTAGAGTTTATTATTTCCCTTAGTTTTCATGAATGCCATCTTGTCTCCTAATGTGCCTGGTTTTATTTGAGCAATGGATATTGTGTATGGAATTTGTTTTTAGTATTTTGAGGCCTAGGATGATTTGTTTTTTTTTTCTGTGGTGAAGTTTTGTGTTTGCTTTCAGTAGCTGACTGGAAGCATTAGTAATCCTGTATAACTTTAATCCAAAATCAGGGATTGAGATGATTCTAAAATGAGCATCAGTTTACTTTTGGATCACACTTATTTACTAGGGTATAATGTACTTTCCAGGGTCCAAATCCAAAGCATGGCCCTTCCATGCTAGGCCTTCGAATATAACTTTTGTCTCTCTAACCAGGGGCTGTCAGAAGTGCTTCTCAACCTGTTTGCCTCCTCTTTAGGAATCAGAAAATACTCTTAAGAGAAAAGCACCTTCAAGGATCAGATTGTGTGTGTTACTGTTTTTCTGTATATCTGAGTTACAGGATTCATCTGAATTACCTATCCCAGCAGGGGAAGTTTGTTATGTAGTTTTTTTCATGTAAATTTTTATAATTACCATGACTTCCTCTTGAGATAATATAATTCAGGCTTGGACATTTTCTCCTTCAGAGTATATTTAGTTTCCACTGTTAATGCATGTGTTTCTTTAACATTTTCCTGTAATAAAGTAATGTGAAACCCTGCTCTAAAAAGTAAATAGATTTCTCTCAGTAGTCCTGAATAGCTAGTTGCAGAGAAATTATTTGGAAAATACATCATCATATTGCCTTTGTAAAATTTTCTCTCACCACTTTGGAGCACAGTGGTTTGTATCTTGTCTCAACTCCTGTAGCATTTATTTTGTAAAATTTTTTAAAGTTTTATGGTGTGAATTATATTGTACAACTTGTATCGCTGACCATATTAAAGATGAGGTGGTGGAATCATTTCCTGCTGCATCTCTTGTATTCCTATACCTAGCATAGACATTCATTAAATAATTATGATTACTAACAAATTTTTTAGGGGCCAACTATAAGCTAATACAATATTAAATGAAAAGAGGCTTACTAAATTTTTGGAATATTGAATGCAGTCAACTGTTACTTTTTTTAAGTCTTGGTGCCAGATGCTGTACTTTAATCCAAGATTTTGCTGTTTTGTTCTGGAGTTAGCAACCATTTTGTGTTAGTGAGGTGTGTGTGTGTGTATGTGTGTGAGAGAGGGAGGGAGGGAGCGAGCGAGCATTCCTACCTTTTACGGTAGCAACAGCTGATATTTTTATTTGAGGAAAGGCCAGTTTTTTCCTCTGAAATACCATTACTCATGGTAATGTCTTTTGAAAACTGCTAAGTGGGCTTCCACTGTAGGCTTGCCTAACAGTCAGAATGCTGATTTGGTTCTTAGCACTTTCTAAGATTTTTCCCAAGAAGGGAGAATTTAGATGAGAAATTAGGTTGCACAGAAATGTACATAAAACAAAATGTTGTTGCAGAAGTTACAGTGTGTCAAGAACTCTTTAAAGGTAATGCTTGATATTTAGATTATCTTAAATTATTTTTCTTTTTCAGCTTCCAGCCGATCTTACCAAGATGCACATTGCAGACAACCCTCATCCACAGGTGACTCATGTGTCTTCTAGTCAGTCTGGTTGTAGCATTGCCAGTGACTCTGGGAGCAGCAGTTTATCAGATATCTATCAGGTAATACGTTAGGAGTTTGTTTGCTGTGCATATGGCTTTTTTAATTCTGCCGAATACCTTGTGCTTGTGCCTTAGGTGGTCATGTATCTTTTAACTAGGGTGTGAAATTCTGACATAAGGTCTTTGAGAAAAATATGCTTTGTTTACTGTGTCAAATTTACAAGCCTAATGAAAGAGGTGATCTATCTTTTGAGAGTGATTAAGTATGGTCCAGCAGTGCATGAATATAGTGTTCTTTTTAATTTCTTTTATCCAAGTGAATCTATATTAATATATAATATTTGCGTTAGAAAATGGTTCTTGAAACAACTGAACTTAAATTTATAAAAAGGCAATTTTTACTATATTCAGTAGTTGATTAGTTAAGTCCTCTATAAGTAAAGTCATGAAGAAGATTAGACTTGCCTTTGTATTGTAAAGACTTAAATTTTCCAGTAGCCACATTTAAAAATTAAAAGGAAACAGGTAAAATTAATTTTAATAATATATTTTATTTAGCACAGTATATTCAAATATTATTTCAACATGTAATCAGTGTTTAAAAATTATGAATGAGTTATTTTTTCATACTAAGTCTTCAAAAGGCAAAGTTTAATATTAACTTACGGCACACCTCAATTCAGACAAGACACATTTTTCGAGTGCCACATACGGCTAGTGGCTACCATAGAGCACTGATTTGTTGTAATAGAATCATTGTTGTCTGAGGAAAACAGTTTAGATTGTGGTTCTGTTGAGTTGCATGGATTTAGCTGTTTTATGAAAATCAGCGTTCCTCTGTTAAGGGAAGTTTGCAGGCAGGTGCAAAATGGAAAAAAGCCTCCATTTTTGGTTTATGTGAGGCTTTTTTCCACAAAGATTGTTGCTGTGGACATGCCATCTAAATCCCCCTGTTTGGCATTTTATAGTAGAGAGAACAAGGAATTCTTCTTCACCATTTTATAGTAGATAGAACAGGGAGTTTTTAAAAAGTAAAGTTAAAAACAGTGCAGTGGTCCTGGGGTCACCTACTGTGTTCATGGATTTGTTGGGCTTCATGCATTCTACCCCTCCGCAAAAGAAGTATCTTGTGGATTAAGTTAGAGTTGTTGCATACCTAAAAGTCAAAGTACAGCTGTGCTTCTCTGGACTCTGTGTTTTTCCTAGGGAAGAACACTAAGGAAGATTGACCCTGGATTAATTTTTTAAAGTTCAGGGATGTGGCTTTAGATTTTTCTTTAGATTTTTCTCAAGATAAGTGGGAATGTCTGGACCTTTCAAAGAGAGACAGTAAAGCAGAGATGTAATGTTGATGAACTATAGTACCTGAACTCACTAGTATATCCATCTCTAAGCCAGATGTGATCACCTTTTTGGAGCAAGGAGCAGAGCCCCCGATGGTTGTGAGAAAAGGGACAAGAGGATAGTGCAGGGATTGAGGTTCAAGGTCACTTGGAAAGGCCGTGCTTTACACTGAACTAATAGATGGGCTGTACACAGTGGGGTCCTGATTCTTTGGCAAGATCCTGGAGGAGCGTCTGAAGAATTGTGCTTATATTAGCATCCAAAGGATGTTCACCTACTGTATGACCCACCTGAAGCTGGGGCTCAAGCCTACCTGCTGGTATGGTTGGAGGTCTTCTCCTGTAGGACCATGACCATGTATGTGGCTGCCCTGCGCCAACCTTTTGTATGTTTTCCTTCCTCAGTAGCACTTTCCACAGTTCATTCTACCTTTTAAGAGATTCATTTTAACATAACATAACATGTGGACAGGTATCCTTGCCAGCTTTCCTGCACATCAGAAAAGTCCCTTCATTACAAAATAAACAAGATACCTTTTCATACCCCCAGAAACCTGAAGGTTACCATTGGCCCTCCTCCCCTGACCATGATAATTCACTGTTAAGTCATATCAGCTCTGCTTCCTATGTCATTGTGTTTGTGTGTTTGTATGTATATGTTTGATGCTGAGATGTAATTTACAAATAATAAAATTTACCCTTTTTAGCGTAGCTTACATGAAGACATAGAATATTTCTATCACCTCAAAAAGGGCTTTGTATGCTCCTTTTTAGTCAGTTCCTTCTCCTTATCCCCAGCTGCTGGCAGCCACCAATCTGTTTTCTGCCCTTTTGGTTTTACGTTTTCCAGAAGGTCACATAAATGAAAACATATAGTTAAAAGATGATGCTGTGAAATGCGTCAACTAACGAACAAGATAAATAAGTTTTAATGAATTTAGGGAGAGTAAACAGATGAGCAAAAACAACGAAATTCAAGAACCAAAACAGAAATTCAGAAATTTCAAGGAGAAAACTATTATAATACTAAAGTCAAATATGCAAAAATGTAATATAAACTCTTTTAAGTGCAGCCAAAGAAGGTAAAAGTCCCCAAACTCAGACTTTGGTTAAGCCTAGGACACTAGCCAAAGGATATAAACAGAATAAAGGTTAAAACAAAACAAATATACAAAGATAAAAACAGAAGGAAAAGAAATCAGAATCTTAAAGTAAGTAAATACATACGTATTTGTCTTATACTATATACATGGAATGTATATATGAATTCAAGACGTGTTACCAAATAGTAACAGTTTTTCTGCTGATGGTAGGATTGTGGGTAGTTTTTATTATGTTCCTTCGGCTTGTCTTATGTTTTTCTCAATGGACATTATTATTTCTACATTTAAAAAATTTTAAAGAGGACATAAATAGAGTGTATAGTTAAGAATAAAAGTTGAATAAAATTGTGGGAAAGGATTAAAGGAATTATTACTAGAGGGTAAAAGGAATATGAACAGAATAATAATAGACTGATAAACTATATCTCCTATAATATAGAATTTCTAGACCTACAATTTAAAAAATTAAAAAAAACCAAAAACTATGGATAAGGTAAATAATACCAACTAAATTATGTGTGTGTATCCAATTGGGTCCTCAGGACTAAAAGAGAAGAAAAGAGCATAGAGTTAAATATCAATACTGGACCTTCAGTCTCTCTCTTAACCTCAGGCCTCCTTTTAGTACTTGTGAAAGCTGTGAATACACTCTTTGGTTAACAGATGTTTGGTCCACACCAAAAGGTCCTTGGTATTTGATCTTGTCCCAGACCATTTGGCATGGACCAAATATGCTCATGGACATTTTGGACAGGACCAAGCATCTTTCAAGACACCTTTTAGTTACAGATGTACGTTGCCAGTGTATATACCTTGACCAGCAACATTTGAAATAGTTTTCCTGGTTATCCAAATTTCAACATTTGAGAGGTTTTAAAAGTGAATACCTAACCCAGTCATGGCCTATAACAGTATAAGCAGAGCCTTACAAAATATGCGAGTACATTTAACCCTTGAACAAAATAGGTTTGAACTGCATGGGTCCACTTATACATGGATTTTTTTCCCCAATAAATACATACTACAGTACTACACGTACAGAACCGCATGTACAGAGGGCTGACTGTAAAGTTATATGTGGATTTTCAGCTGTGGGGGGGAAGGGGGTTGGTGTCACTAACACCAATGGTTTTCAAGGGTGAAATGTATTTTTAATTTGGAGGATTGGAGGGGAAAGAGAAGAGAGACATACTAACAGCAGTTTGTAACAGGAATATTGTTTACAGTACCATTTTATATGGCCAAATGTATGACTATGCTCCTATGTATTTCCTTCTTGAGAGCTTTCATGTGTTCTGGTTTAAAAGTAAAAGCTCTTGGATCTCAAAGAAAGTTCAAAATAAAGCATTTATCACAGGTTAGAGAAAATGCAAGTAATTGTTTCAGTATGAATATGTTTCTAATCAGATTAGCTTAAAATTTAGCTAAGAGTATGCATTAAGATGTTAGAATGTTCTTGGATAGAATATTTTATGTATCTTCAAAGAATACTCAAGAGAAATAAGGAGGGTTGCTTTCTGGATTCCTTTTCCAAGAGCTGGAGGATTGTAAAATGTAAAATGTTAATTATTGAACCTAAAGCAGTTGTCTTGTCATTAACTTATTTTTAAATAACCTGAGGTACCCATTCATCCCCCACCTATCTTTTTTGGTTTCTATATAGGAAGTAAATGTGATCCTAAAAATCCCACTTCATGGAAGCATAATTCCTTAACTCAGAGCTCTACTGCCAATCTCTCCAAAACTCTGGTGCCATGTTTCCACCTGCATGTTCTTTTGATACTTCAACTAGCTTTTTGCCCTGCTACATGTTTTCTTCCACTTGTCTTTAATATTTCTGTTAAGAATATCATGTCTCCTAGTCAAAGTCTCAGTTATCTTTGCCTATTTCCATTTTTTAAACTTCTCCTTTCATTACAAGAAGAATGACTTTCCTTCTCTTTAAAAATCTTCAGTGCTTCACCATTATCTAATTTACACTCTTCATTTCAAATTTATATTCAAATTCCAAGCCTTTCATTTCTAACCATAGTCTGCAAATCTGGTTTTATATTCCACTGTTTCCCACTTAACACATTCTAGATTCTGGTCCATGACAAATACAAATGCTATTCCCTGAACGTGTTTGTCTTTTCCTAGCCCTATTTTGGTAATGCTGTTCTTCCTGCAGCTCCACCTGGATGACATTTTCGTATTGCCTCTCACATGTTGGGACCTACAGCAGTTTTTCTGTGGCTCTTATCACTTTTTTTCACTCTGCTTTTTAGTGTGGTTACTTTTAAACTTGATCTTTTTCTTCATCATGGTAAATTTGTAGTGTGCAGAGTTTGTTTCTTCCTTTTGTTATCTCACACTGAGTTAAGCACAGTGTTGGCACTTAGAAAGCAATCTAGAATTTTTTTTAGTTGAATTACACTTGAAAGTAGAAATCAGTATTTCCAGGGAAAATGCAGAGGATCACTGCTAACTAATTGATGATCCAGAGCAACGGAGGCATTACTTTGACCTAGAGATAATGGAATGGGCCAGCCTGGACAGCATTATTGTGAAGGATTAATTTCACAGGGTTCTTGCCCTGACTAGAAAGACAGAGAGGAAACATAAGGACTAAGTG